AGCTAAATACAATCAATTTTTTTATTTTATTGACTTTCTCTAATGTTTTTCTCTTTTCTATTTAATTGTTTTCCACTTATTTTTTATTTCATACATCCTACTTACTTTTGGTTTGATTTATTTATGTTTTTCTAAGTTGTTAAGGTGGAAGTTTTTATTGTTAACTTTAGATAATTCTTTCTTTCTAATATTTTTTAAAGCTTATACATTTCCGTCTGTGCACAACACATCCCATTAATACTGAAATGCTTTGTTTTCATTAAGATATATTTCTCTTGTTATTACTTCTTTGATTCATGACTACTATTTGCATGGTATATCTTTTTCATCTTTTTATATTCAGCTTATCTGTTTCATACAAAGTATCTTTTTTATAGAAACCATATGGTTGGATCTTGCTTTTTTTAAAAAAAATCCAGTATGACAGTCTTCCTTTTGAATTTAAACCATTCAAGTTTAACATAAATACTGATATGGTTGTGTTTATGCCTGCCGTTTTGTTCCTTGTTTTCTATAAGTGTCATGTCTTTTGTTTTTCTGTTAATGCTTCTTTTGTGCTAACGAAGTATTGTTAGAGCACTATTTAAATTTCTCTATTGACTTCTTAGCTGTGTTTTAGAGGTTTTAGTTTTAGTGGTTTCTCTGGGAATTCTAATAATCATCTCCAACACTTAATTCCTGTGTTATATAGCAGCTTTGAGCCAATAGACCTCTATATGCCATAAACTCAACAATATTTTGTTATTCTTACTGCTCTTAATAATCTTAGTTTTTTTAAATGAAGAGGTGAAATGAGAATATATTTATAATCTTTTATACTTAGGTATTTATTTACCATATCCAGTATACTTTATTGCTTCTTATTGGTCCAAATTACCATCTTGTGTCATTTCCTTTCAACTTAAAGCATTTTCTTTAGTATTTCATTAGGGGTGAATTTTTCTATTTTCATCTGTCTGAGAATGTCTTTATTTCAACTTTACTTTGAAGAATAGGTGTCTGTTTATTTGTTTTTTAGAGAGAGAGTGCACACACAGAGGCTGGGGGTAATGGAGGGGTGAGAGAAAGAAAGAGAGAGAGAGAGAGAGAGAGAGAGAGAGGATCTCAAGCAGGCTCCATGCCCAATGCAGAGCCCAGCACAGGGCTCAGTCTCACAACTGTGAGCTGAAATCAAGAATCAGACACTTAACCACCTGAGCCATGCAGGCACTCCTGAAGAATGGTTTTACTAGATATTGAATTCTTAATTGACAGGTTTTTTTCTACATTTTTGAAATGTCACCCCACTGCCTTTGGGCCTTTATTTTTTCTGATGAAAATGCTGCTGTTAGTTGCATTATTGTTGCCCTGTACATAATGAGTCATTTTCTTACTACTTCCAAGATTTTCTTTTGTATTTTGTTGTCAGAAATTTGATGATGGTGATGATGTCTTTAGGTGTGGATCTTTTGTGCTTATTCTATTTGGGATTTGTTGGGCTTCTTAATCTATAAGTTAATGTTTTTTATTAACTTTGAGAGGTTTTCAGACATTATATTTTCAAGTATTTTTCTGCCCCTTTATGTCTTTGTCTTCTCTTCCTGGGACTTCTTTTATGCATATGTTAGTACTCTTGGTGGTATCCTATAGGTGTCTGAGGCTCTGTTCATTTTTCTTTATTCTTTTTTTCCTTGCTTCTCAGATTGATTAATATCTATTGATCTATATTCAAGGTCACTGATACTTTCTTTCACAAGATCAAATATGCTGTTGAGCCTCTCTAGTCAGCTTTTCATTTCAAGTCTTATACATTTCATTTCCAGATTTTCATTTTTAAATAAATTTTATCTCTTTATTGATATTCCCTATTAATTGACACATTGTCCTATTTTCATTATTTGAATACATTTATAATACCTGTTTTGAAAACTTTGGAAATCTAGCACCTGGACTTATTCATTCAGTCTCTATTGACTGCTTTTTTGTCCTGAATGTGGGTTGTATTTTCCCATTTCTTTCCATATCTAGTAAGTTTGGGCTGAAAATTAAACATCTTAGTTACACATATGGCAACTTTGAATTCAATTTTATTTTTTTAAGGTTTTCATTATTGTTGTTTGGGTAATTTGCATGTACTTAAGCTGTGGAATCATTCTGTGCCATGGTTTTGCAGCACCTGGTGTCTTACTTTTTGTTTATTTGTTTTTAGCCTATCTTCCTAGGGGTTTCTAATTTGTCTGCATAGCTTAAGAGTCACCTAATGATTTGGGGGAGACATTGTGTTCAAGCCAGTTAGGCTTCCACCCTCTGCCAAGTGATCCTATAAGTGGGTTGAAGAATGTATTCAAAATTGCTGCTGGTAGTCAAATCTCACATCAGTTTTTACTTTTTGCCATACTCTCAGGAGTCTTCTCTGTGGTTGCATACACATACATCCAATCAGCCACGCATATGTGGAGAACTTACCTCAACCTTTCTGTGATTCTGTCATATCCAGCATCTCCCAGTTAAATTTTTACCATATCTGCCACTCACCTCAGCTTGAGCTGCAACCTCAAACTGGCACCACAGCATATTTCCTCTGCCTATTCTGAAACCAATCTGCCGCTTCTACCCAGCAAAGTCATGGGTTTTCTCCCTCCACTCCATATCTATCCCACCTCCCCTCACAACAAAGTGGCTGGTTTTTAAGCTAGCTCCATGATGGTAAAACTACAGTGTTTCCTAAATGAAGTAAGTGAGGAAATGAGGGGAGGAATGATAGCAGTCCCAGGCAGGAAGGCCTCAGACTTTAACCAGTCCTACCTAAAACCCTAGCATCTTTTTTTTTTTTTAATAAATGCTTCTCAATTTGGTAACTGTCATTAGTCAGTTTTCAGGATCCTACAATTATTGGTTTGTTGTTGTTGTTGTTGTTATTGTTGTTTATAGCTTTACATGGAGGGATTTTTTTGTTGAGATAAATTGCCTATCTCTGCAGGTCATCATTATTGACAACCCCTTCCCCACTTACTTTTATATACCCTGATTAGCCATTTTGATTAGTAATGTGTTCTAAAATTGTATAGACTAACCTACATGTTTGCAAATTTCTTTCTACATCTTTCTTTTTGTTCTTATGTCCTTATTCCTAAAACATATCTTTCAATAGTTTTTGTTTTCAGTGAAAATGGAGTATGTTCTTAGATATATATTAACTTGACAATATCTTTAATTTGTTTTTTGTTTGAATGATAGTTTAACTGGCTACAGAATTCAACATTGAATATTTTATCTCTGCACTTTGAAGACTTTATTATTGTCCATGTTCCATTATTGCTATTGAGAATTGAGAATCTGCTCCAATGTTTATTTTTTTATGATTATCTTTCTCTCTCTGGATTCTTTAAGACCTTATTTTTGTCTTTGGTGGTCTGTGGTTTCTCAACATTATGTCTAAGTATCTATTTTAATTTAATCCTAAAATAATTTAATCATTTTGCTTCCTGTGTCCAAATCATTGGGAATTACTTCTTATTTTATAATTTTTATCTTAAATTCAGATTCAGTGGGGTTTATACTGTTTGGAATCAGGAGTGTCTATTGGGGATATTTTGAACTAGAATCTACTAATTGCTCAAGGCCTAGTTCCATGGGCAGATACTTTTTATGCTGTGTTTAGGATTTGGGGATTCCCAAACCAAGCAAATCATGTAAATTTGAGACTTAGCCTTAAGTTAGTTGAGGCCTAATTTTATATATGAATTCCCAGAGGTGATTTTGCCAACTAGAGACCAGCTAAGACAAACAAACTGCCCTGTCTTTTCCCTTTGTCAGTAGAATAGTATCTTCTGGTCCATTTAGTAAGAGTTTAGTCCTTCAAGTGTTCCAGTTTTGTGGATGGCAACAGTCAGAGCAGAGGAACAAGAATCTTAGTTCTAACTTTTTGCCTTGAGTTTATCAAAATCCTCCTCTTCTATCCTGCCAGTTTTATGGGGCCAAAAAGGGGTCACAGCTAAAAAATACACTTAAGTTGTTCTAAGTATTAGGAATTATGATTTATAGTAAAATATGTTAAATGTTTAATATGCAGGTGGCAATTTACAGTGTAATCATTTGTCCTTTGCAGAAACTTATGGATTCCCTGGTGAGTAGGGCCTTTCCTGAGAATCTAGTTGCCAGAAAGAAGATATCTACTAACTTATCCTTCTCACACTATTTACCTGTACTTCCTACATATAACCTAAGATACATTATATTCTCCCAAAGACCAAGTTCACTTTTTTCTAGCCATTAAATCCCTTTAATAATTTATGCCAAATATCAACTGAAGTATCCTTCCAGCACAAAGATTTATTCTGGTCCTGTTTTAAAAAGTTGGCACTCTACCACTGTGATCTACTATAAATTTGAGAATTCTTATCACAACCAATTATCTTTTTATTCATGATGCAAAGGCTACTCTAAAATATAAAATGAAGTAAAGCTCATCATATTGCCATGGAATTTTTTAAATGTCATATATTGTGAGAAATGTTTAGCACTTTAAAGGACTCACATATACTTCTATTTTTTTTTTTAATTTTTATTTTTAGAAAGAGAGAGAGACTGAGCATGTATGAGCAGGAGAGGGCCAGAAGGAGAGAGAGAGAAAGAGAAAGACAGAGAGAGAGAACCTTAAGCAAGCTCCATGCTCAGTGTAGAGCCTGATGCACGGCTTGATCCCATGACCCTGGGATAATGACCTGAGCCAAAATCAAGAGTCAGATGCTCTACTGACTCAGCCACCCAGGAACCCCTTAAAATATTTTTTAAAATACTAACACTTTGTTAAAAACTTGTGCCATAAATTGACAGGGACTTTGGAATATATGTTAAACAGATATTTCTTCAACCATACTAGCAAGCAACATTAGTCTATGTTATGTATCATTATATAGGCCTGGCTATTAATATGATATTTGATAAAATAGAATCATCTTTTGTATGTATATATCTATGTCTATGTAGATATATAGATATATGCTTTTTTTATATTTCAGGAGTTGCACTTTTTATGTTATGGTGTGTAGCCTGGTCATTCTCAGGCCCCGAAGTTCTCCCTGGTGGAAATTTATTTGGACTATTAATTATTTTTTATAGTGCCATGATTGGGGGGAAAATTTTGGAACTCATTAGAATACCTTCAGTGCCTCAACTTCCACCTCTTCTTGGTAAGTGTACAGTTAGCTCTTATTTCTTTGTTTTTGCTGTATGCAAATTATGAACATACTCTAGTCAGAATACATATAATATAGAAATATTTCAATGTAATATGATCTTTATAGCTTCTTTTTATATTTACTATATATGTGTGGATATAGCTCATTTATAGAAGTATTTATTCTCTTTGTATACAAGCACACATATTTTTTCTGAAATATTTTTGAAACAATTTAAATATACTCAATATATGATTCCTGTTGCTTTATTGTTTAATAGGACATTTTAAAATTAATTTGAAATATATTATAGAAAATGAAACATTTGGAAAAGACTGAATTTTTCTGTAGATAACCTAACTCAAATACAATGATAAGATTCAAATACTGTAGTGACTAGGGCACCAGAAAGTTTTATGGTTTAAGCTGTTTGGGCATCTCCACTATGTATATTCATGGATGCGTCATCTGCCTAACCAGTATTACATCCTCTTTCTTCATTACCATTATTATATAACTCTCCATTTGGACAGAGGAAAATTAGTGGAAGAACTTCTATCAGTGGTGTCTCATATCTTCTAAGTATTCAATACACCCAAATATTCCGTACACTGTGAGTAGAGATAATTGCTCCATCCTATTGCTAATACCCTTTCTATGTCCACAACACCCTTTTAGCACCTGCTAAGTATTCACTGAATCTTTTTTTTTCTCTCCAAAACTTCTACTCTTACCCTAGCTTAGGCTATTTGTTTTCCAAGTCTTCCATGGACTTTGGCAGAGCCTTTTAATTGTTCTCTCCTGTAGTTTTATGTCTATCTAACTCATCAAAACCATCACATAGAAAATACAAGATGCACTATGTCTCTCCCTCCTAAAACTTTTCCTATGGTACATTACTCTGGAAAAGCAAGCGGTGGGAATGGAGGCTGCAGGGGGGTTAGCTTTATATTATCTTTATATTATCTCCCGCCCATTCTCTCACTCAGTCCTTGCCCTTTTTTTGTTTAACAACACTGAATTACCTGTTTTAGCCCTTTGAGATATGTCATTTCTTATCTCCAGCCCTTTACTTATGCTGCCTTCTCTACTTGTATGTAATCTGTCCTTCACCAAAGTAATGATGTAGTGTGTTTAGAGAAGGGAAATTAAACATTTCTCTTTTCTAACTTAGAAAAATGAACTGAATCAGACATGTTTTCTTTTCTTTTTTTTTAAAGGGATGTTACTGGCAGGTTTTACCATCAGGAATGTTCCATTCCTCAGTGATTACATCCATATTAATAACACATGGTCTTCAACTTTAAGAAACACTGCCCTTACCGTTATCCTAATACAAGCTGGGCTTGGACTCGATCCACAGGTAGATTTGCAACTATATCTTGAATAAAGATATTTTAAATATTAGAGGCTGGTAGAAAAGCAAAAGAGGCAAAATTTTTGTTACAGCTGCTCCAAGTGAAGTCTGTAAGCAAAACTAAGATAAAGAACAAAGATTTTGCAGAAATATTGGCATCTTATAATTTCTACTTCTGGTCATCATTATTACTGATATGAAGAGAAATCAGTGTCATGTAAGATCTCTATTAGAAATCATCTTTAATTATTTTCATAGAGATAAATGTCCCTTGTACAGCATTTGTTTTGTTTGGGACCTGTGGCTTTTCTATGGATAACTATTTACTTTTCAGTTAATAGTAAACTTGTGGTGCTTGGGTGGCTCAGTTGGTTAAGTGTCTGACTCCTGATTTTGGCTCAGGTCATGATCTCACAGTTCATGAGATTCAGCCCCACATCGGCACAGAGCCCGCTTGGGATTCCCTCTCTGACTCTCCCTCTTTCCTTGCCCCTACCTTGTTCTCTCTCTCTCAAAAATAAATTAATAAACTTTAAAAAATAAATAAAGGGTAAGGTCCACTCCTAAAAGGTTTTTACTTTTCTTTTGTTTTTCAAAGAGATTAAGAATTTCAGTAACATTTTTATTTAATGACTTTATTCCCCCACAGATGTATGTTCTTGATTATCTGTGCATTGTTGTAGAAGCTAATCTTTTAAAAGATCACAATCTAGGAATCATAAATCTATTTGGGTTTTAAAAAGGTGACTCTTCATGAATAAATATAACAGCTACTGAAACAACAAATGTATGAGTTTAGTGAAAATATCTCAAAAGCATAAAGACAGTGACAACTTATTATAAGCTCCAGTAGAAAATTTGAACCAATGAGAAAATTCTAAAGTTCTCCTTTTTAGTGAATTATGCTGTTTTTAAGTGATTTTTCTCTTTTGGCACATTGATATTTTCTATTATAATTATTAAATTAACCAAACAGGTCATTTCTAAAAGTTAACTGATGGAAATAAACCTATAGGTCATACTTTTATTATACTCTTTATAAGAAAGATTAAGGAAGGTAGAAATAATTATTTAATTACAGAGAAATGGATTTTTTGAAATTATTTAGATACAACAGTATTTTATAAAATGTGAAGTACTTTATATATAACCCAATCTGTGATGTTAATTTAAAATGAGCTGTATTAGCATTTCAAGTCCAGTGAGACAATCTGGAAGATTTAGCTTAATAAAAACTAATTACTTAAAAAAAAAAAAACTATCTCAAAATTTACTTAAATAACTTTCTTGTTCACCATTGTAAGTTGTCTAAATGTGACTATTTTTATATTTCAGGCTTTGAAGCATTTGAAGAGAGTTTGTTTAAGATTGGCTCTAGGTCCATGCCTCGTAGAGGCATGTTCAACTGCTGTTATTTCCCACTTCCTTATGAATTTTCCCTGGCAATGGGGATTTCTTTTGGGGTAACTTTTTCTCATTTTTCTCTATGAAAATATTCGGTTAAGAATGCTTGGTTTGAAATTATCAAAATATTCAGAATATTATATAGACAAGCTTCTCATTAAACTTCTTTTCACAGTGGGGGTACCTGGATGACTCAGTTTAGCATCCCACTCTTGACTTTCGCTCAGGTCATGATCTTACAGTTTGAGTTCAAGCCCCACGTCGAGCACCTTGCTCACAGCATGGAGTCTGCTTGGGATTCTCTCTCTGCCCTTTCCCACCTCATGTTCTCTCTCTCTCTCTCTCTCAAAATAAATGAATAAATAAATTTAAAAAAAAAGTCATTTGGGGTACCTCAATGGCTCAGTTGGTTAAGGGTCCGACTCTTGATTTTGGCTCAGGTCATGATCTCATGGTTTGTGAATTCAAGCCCCACATCGGGCTCTCTGCTATTAGTTCGGAGCCCCCTTGGGATCTTCTGCCACCCTCCTCTCTGCCCCTCCCCTGCTCATGTGCTCTCTCTCTCAAATATAAATAAACATTAAAAAAAATTCTTTTCACACTGGTAGAAAACCTTGGAAATGTGTTGGTCAGAAGCAGAGCCATATCCTAAATCTACCATATCCTTAGCAAACATGCAGTCCCTGAATGTTTAGTGCAAGATAATTCATCAATTTACTCCTTCTCTCCTATATCGTTTTCCATTTCTATGTTTTAACCCATCCAGTGGCCTCTTCCTTATAAATTGTATGTATATATTATATACATATATATGAGATTTTATATATAGATATTATAACCAAAACACTCTTTCCCTGTATCCAATGTCCCATCTATTTTTACCCACTATCCATTTTCTCTTCATGTCCAAATTCCTCAAAACAATAGTCCATAATCACTCTCTCTAGATGCTCAACCCCTTTTCATTTTTCAATATATTTACCTTTTGCCTCCATTTGAATGTAAAGTTCACCCATTATATACTTACTGCCAAATCCAATGGATTTTTTAAAATTTCTTTTTTATTATAAAAGTAATAACCCAAATGCATTTTACTTTTGAAAAATTAAACTTTACAGATAAAACTAAGAAGTCTTTTAACCATGCCTTCAAATCCTAGTGCCTATACCCGTACCCAAAGTAACAGTTTTTATGAGTTTTATGTTATTATTCCATAGACCTTTAAAAATAACAGTCCAGACTTCTAAAGAATATATATTATATATATGTAACATATATATAATATATATTTATATGAAAATAGATAAAATAATATTCTGTTTTTCCAAGGATTTATCTACTGTATACATATATAATATATAAATAATATCAAAGAGTGTATCACTATGTTTGCGATTTTCTCTCTTTTACTCAACAGTATTCTTGAGATTTATACACTTAGAAATATGTAGCTCATTTGTTTAATTGTTGTATAGTGTTATATTGTGTGATAATACCAGATTTTACTTACAGTGTTCCAACAAATAGCATTTTGTTTGTCTCACTTTGCATAAATGTGAGTTTTCCTAGAATAGTTACCTAAGTTATGCGCATTTTCAGTTTTGATGGATACTATCAAAGTGCCTTTAACACGTACCAATTTGCCCTATCACCAGCAGGGTATGAAAATGGCTGTTATTCTTTCAAATCCTTGCAAATTATAATATCAAGTCTTGATATTATCAAACTTTATGATATTTTCCAATCTGGTGAACAAAAATTGATTATTTCTTTGTTGTTTTAATATGCATGTATGTGATTATTAATGAGCTTCAGTATTTTTATATGAGCCTGTTCAGACCTTTTTCTATTTTTCTGTTGAGTTATTCTTTTCTTTCTTATTGATTATATCAATGCTTTGGTACAAGTATTGCAAATACATGTCCTAACATACCACTAGATATTTAACTTTGCTTATGATGACTTTTTTTTTTAATCTAAAAAGGGTATTTTATTATTTCCAACAGATAGAAGAGCAAATACATAAAACCATTCCTTGACCTTGAAAATCAAAAAGAAAAACCAGGGCGTGGGGAGGAAGAATATAGCTACTTTTGATATAACAAAGGGCTTTTTTATGTAATCAAATTGATCAATACTTCTGTTTCTGTTTAATGCCTTTCTATGTGTCATTCAAAAGATCCTTTTTACCCATATATTTATGGTCATAAATATATTCTTCTATATATTATTATTATTACTTTTAAGTACATTTTAAAAAATTCTTTTAAAACAGTAGAGTTTATTATGTGTGGAGATCTAGCTACATTCTTTTTCCACGTGAATAGGTTGTTGCCTCAGCACCATTTATGGAAAAGTTCTTTTTTTCCCCCTTGATTTGAAATGTTGATTTTGTCATGTAACAAACCCCAGAGATTTGTGTTTTTTTATAATTTTTTTAATGTTTATTTTTTTGAGAGAGAGAGGACAAGAGTGTGAGCTGGGGAGGGGAGGAGAGAGAGGGAGACACAGAATCTGAAGCAGGCTCCAGGCTCTGAGCTGACAGCACAGAACTGCAAGATTGTGACCTAAGCCTAAGTGGGACACTTAACCAACTGAGACACCCAGACACCACAGAGATTTGTTTTTATACTTGTGTTCTGTTTTTCTTCCAATCCCTTTTGTCTATTTCTATGTCATTATTACATGGTTTTAACTATCTTGCCTTTACTAAAACAGTATCTTCATTTTTACATCGACTTGGTTTTTCATTCTAAGCTCTTATTCTCCCAAATGAATTTTAGAATCAACTAGTCAAGTTCAATGAAGAATCCTGAGAATATTTTAATTGGCATAGCAACGAATTAATAAATTAATTTGGAGGAGAGATGACACATTTATAATATTGAAGAGTTTTTACCCATAAATATGACATATCTCTCCATTATTTAGGTGTTATATTAAGTTCTATGTTTATAATTTTTAGAGAGATCTGGGTCTATCTTCATAGTTTTGTTCTCAGGTGTTTTATGTTTTTTATTGATGTTATTAATAGATTTTTCATAACATTTTCGAATTAGTTTTTGCAGATGTATAAGAAAACTACTGATTTTTAAAAATACATTTTATTGGGGCGCCTGAGTGGCGCAGTCGGTTAAGCGTCCGACTTCAGCCAGGTCACGATCTCGCGGTCCGTGAGTTCGAGCCCCGCGTCAGGCTCTGGGCTGATGGCTCGGAGCCTGGAGCCTGTTTCCGATTCTGTGTCTCCCTCTCTCTCTGCCCCTCCCCCGTTCATGCTCTGTCTCTCTCTGTCCCAAAAATAAATAAAAAACGTTGAAAAAAAAAATTAAAAAAAAAAAACATTTTATTGAGGTATAGTTCACATAGAATAAGCACTCATTTTTAGTGAACATCTCAATGAGTTTTTTTATAATGAGTTTTATAATGTAATTATATAGTATGTACTCTTATTTCTGGTTTCATATGGTCAGCAAGTTGTTTTTGAGATGCATCCATATTATTCATTCCATTTTATTGCAGAGTATTATTTCATTGTATGAAATATACCACCAATTTTATTCATTCACTTGTTGATGGATATTTAGATTGTTTCCAATTTAGTTGTTACAAACAAAGCTGCTATGAACTTTTGCATTCAAGTCTTTGTGAAGACATTTGTTTTCATTTGTTAGAGAAATGCCTAAGAGTAGATTTGTTAGATCATATGGTAAGATATTATTTAATTTTATTTTAAAAATGGGGTGCCTAGCTGGCTCAGTCAGTAGAGCATGCTACTCTTGATCTCAGGGTTGTGAATTTGAGCCCATGTTGAGTGTAAAGATTACTTAAAAATAAGTAAATAAATAAACAGTGCCAAAAATTTTCCGAAGTATTGTAGTATTTTACATTCCCACCAATAATGTATAAAATTCTAGGCCATCCACATCCTCTCCAATACTTCATAGTGTCTCCTTAATTGAACATTTTTTAGTTGTATGTGTAGTCGTACAAAGTTATAGTTTTAGGCAAGGGAATAAATAAACAATAAACAATAAACAATAAAAAGCTTCTGCACAGCAAAGGAAACAATCAACAAAACTAAAAGGCAACCTTTGGAATGGCAGAATATATTTGCAAATGACATATCTGATAAAGGGTTTGTATCCAAAATATATAAAGAACATATAAAACTCAACACCCAAAAAACAAATAATCACAGAAGACATGAATAGAGTTTTTCCAAAAATGGCTAGAAGACCAATGAAAAGATGCTTACTATCACTCATCATCAGAGAAATACAAATCAAAACAAAAGTGAGTTATCACCTCACACCCATCAGAATGGCTAAAATCAACAACACAAGAAACAATAGGTGTTGGCAAGGATACAAAGAAAAAAGAATCCTCATGCACTGTTAGTGGGAATGAAAACTGGTACAACTACTGTGGAAAACAGTATGGGGCACACACACACATACACATATACAATGGAATATGAGCCATAAAAAAAATGAAATCTTTCCATGTGCAATGACATGGATGGAGCTAGAGAGTATTAATGTTAAGTGAAATAAGTCAGAAAAAAACAGATAACCATATGATTTCACTCATGTGGAATTTAAAAAACAAAACACGTGAACATGGGGGAAAAAAAGAAACCATAAAACAGACTGTTAACTATAGAGAACAAACTGAGGATTGGTGAAGGGGGAGTAGGTATGGGGGTGGGTTAAATGCATGATGGGTTATGGAGGGTGTACTGGTAGTGATAAGCACAGAGCGCTGTATGTAAGTCATGAACTATTAAATTCTACACCTGAAACTAATATTCACTGTATGTTAACCAACTGGAATCTTAATAAAAACTTGAGAAAAACAATAAAGTTGTGGTTTTATAGTTTTTCATCAAATTTAGAATTTTTCAGCCGTTATTTAAGTATTTTGCCCCTCTTTCTTATTCTAGAACTACAACTACACATGTATTAGACTGCTTGATATTATTATGTAGGTCCCTGGTACTCTATTAACTTGTTTTACTCATGTTACTCTCTGTACTTAATTTTGCGTCTTTTTCCTCAGA